TTTTAACAGTGCAGGCATGATGCTGGGAGGAGGATGTGGGGACCAGATTGCAAAATGGGTTGTCCACGGTCGACCCGAAATTGATATGTTTGGTTACGACATCAGGCGATACCACACCCCTCTTAACGCCAACAAACCGTGGGTCTTAGAGCGCTCTCATGAGTCATATGCAAAGAATTACAGTATTGTATTCCCACACGATGAACCCCTTGCTGGTCGCAATCAGAGGCGGTCTCCGCTTCACAATGTGAGTCCATTGTTATCCCTCTCCTCTCTTTATTTTTCTCCGTCATGGTTTGTCTAATGGAACCTATTTTATTTAATTCATAGAGTTTAATTTAGGAGTTTACAGAAGACCTCTGTTTCTCAGCAGATTTCAATAAAATGCATGCATTCTGAATTGTATCGTCATTGATAAGTGTAATGGAAAGGTGAAAATCATACTCACTACATATCTAAGAATTTGGAAGCAGCCCAGTTCCAGTTGATAATTGAAAAATCTCATTGCAGGTGCTGGAGGACCTCGGCTGTGTATTTCAGGAGAGGCATGGCTGGGAGCGTCCTGGCTGGTACAACACCGTCCCTGCCCCAACACAGCCGTATGATTGGTATGGCTTCTATGGCAACGACCTCAGCTCAGATACAAGATACAAGACAATGCTAACTGCTGATTATACTTTCGACTTTCCCCATCATCATGATCTGGTAAGAAGCACTGAACTTTACGAAACATCCTTGCTTCCCTCCCTTCAGTTGAAGATGTAATCCTGTAGAGTAGTCTTGCATTTTAAGGCACAGTTTCATCCTTTTGACAAGATTTTTAGGTTAGTCAATAATGCCAATGGTTTCTAGACAATATATTTAGTGTTTATGTTTTTTTGTCTGGCAAATGTAACACATTCCAAAAAAAAGATATTTGTACTTCTGTACAAAGTTAAATCTCATAGTACTGCATTGTATAATAGGAATTATTGATCTGCATAGAATAAATGATGTTATGAATGAGGGTGTGTTGTAATACTGGTTAAGAAAGAGTGGTAGTAAAGTAGTTTCGATTTGTTTTCTACCTCTTTCAATGTTTTTGGTTTTGGACTTACAAAAGGTCGAGAGTCTTCTAAATGTAGGTAGATTCTAATACAAATAACATAGCTCATGGCATGTTTTTTCCTTCTTCCAAGTATTGCATTTTTTTTAAGATAACATTTTTCCTAACTTTGAATATACCATTTCATATCTATCTGACTACCACCCTAGTTTACTGATTTATTGTTCTGCAGATACAGAAGGAGTGCCTAGCCTGCCGTAATGCTGCCGCCATCTTCGACATGTCTTATTTTGGAAAGTTCTACCTGACAGGACCAGATGCACAGAAAGCCGCCGATTGGCTATTCTCGGCAGACGTGGCAAGGGATCCAGGTTCTACTGTTTACACTTGTATGCTCAACCACAGAGGAGGAATTGAGGCCGACCTTACTGTGGTGAGTAAAGGTGAAACAAAAATAGAAAGAGCACTTTATTTCAGTTTCAAAGATTAATTTTTGATTGATTTTTGCATTTTGAAATTTGAGATTAAAAGAGTTAGTATACAAGAGAGCTAAAGTATCAACTGATTACTAATTTCCCTGCTATGCAGAGTGTGTGTGACGGCGGAGAGGGATCACCTTGTGATCCAAAGTTTGAGGGGCGCGGGTTCTACTTAGCAGCAGGAGGCGCAGCAGCCCTTCAGAACCTGGCCCATGTCACCAAAGAATTAAGATCTCATAAGTGGAATGTCCAGATCCTGGACCACACAGATGACATGGCCATGCTATCCATCCAAGGGCCCAACAGCAGAGCCATTCTACAGCAGCTGAGTGACACAGACTTCAGTGATGCAGCATTTCCTTTTTCTTCACACAAAGTGATCACAATAGCTGGCCACAAGGCAAGGGCACTTAGGTTGTCCTTCGTTGGTGAAATGGGTAAGTGATTTCCAAATATTGAATTTGAAAATGGATGCTGGTCACAGAAGTAAAATATTTAGTTAACTGATCCCCTTAATATTCTTTAAAAAATCGGTAGCATTTCTTTTAGCTTCTGCTCTTTTTCTCCTTGTAGCTTAAGAACGATATTTTCCTGGATATTGAATTGATGGCATTTGATATGCTTTCTTTTCCAGGTTGGGAACTTCATGTACCTAACGAGTCAGCAGTTGCAGTCTACAAGGCGGTGATGGCTACTGGGGAGCCTCTTGGGTTAGTCAATTCTGGTTATCGAGCCATTGACTCTCTATCTTGTGAGAAGGGCTATCGCCATTGGCATGCTGATGTACGTCCTGATGACACACCCCTTGAGGCTGGCCTTGCATTCACCTGCAAGCTTAAGACAGATACAAATTTTCTTGGGCGCCAAGCCATTGAGCGTCAGAAAGCAGAGGGCATCAGGAAGAAGCTCGTGACTTTGACCCTGGATGACCCATCAAAGCCTCTGTGGGGTCTTGAGGGAATTTGGCGAAACAACG